GATCTTTTCAGTGTGCCCCTGTCGCCAAGGCACTCAGGGGAATCTCTCTCTCTCTCTCTCTCTCTCTCTCTCTCTCTCTCTCTCTCTCTCTCTCTCTCTCTCTCTCTTTCTCTCTCTCTTTGTGTGTGTCACGGTATAGTTGGACCGTTGTGTGTGTGTGTTTGTGTGTGCGTGTGTTCCCTCTACCCTGTCGCCAAGCACCTATACCCTGCCTACCCCGTGCGTGTTCTATGTGTGGTGAAGCAACATATGGATCCAAGTGCAACGAGAAGCCCCCCGCCTACCCTGTTAAAAAAAAAAAAGAATAATATTCTCGATTATTCGTTACCAAAAAAATAAAATTCATGCGCACTTCTTAGCTGTCGGCGTGCGGGTGTCGTGTGGTTAAGCATGAAGTGGATCCAAGTCCGAGTTGGGGGGGGGGGGCCGCAGCCCGTCCCCCCCGCAACTTGAAAAAGAAAAAAACATATATTCCTCTGTATATATTAAAAAAAACAAAAACATTCACGTGCACTTCTTAGCGGCTCGGTGTGGGTTTTATGTATGGTGAAACAAGATATGGATCCAAGTGCAATGAGAAGCCTCCCGCGTATCCTATTAAAAAAAAAATAATAATAATAATATTATCGACTATTCGCTACCAAAAAAATAAAATTAATAGTCACTTCTTAGCTGACGGAGTGCGGGTTTCGTGTGTGGTGAAGCATGAAGTGGATCCAAGTCCGATTTGGGGGGGGGGTCCGGCCCCCGCAACTTGGAAAAACTAAAAAAAACTTATATTCCTCAGTATATATATTGAAAAAAACAAAAACATTCACGTGCACTTCTTAGCGGCCCGGCGCGGGTTTTATGTGTGATGAAACAAGATATGAATCCAAGTGCAACGAGAAGCCCCTTCCGTACCCTATTAAAGAAAACAAAAAAGAAATAATATTTTCGACTATTCGCTGCCAAAAAAATAAAACTCATGTGCACTTCTGAGCTGTCGGAGTGTGGGTTTTGTGTGTGGTGAAGCATGAAGTGGATCAAAGTCCGAGTTGGAAGGGGGGGTGCGCCCCCCCCCCCCTGCAACTTGAAAAAAAAAAAAAAAACATATATTCCTCAGTATATATTGAAAAAAACAAAAACATTCACGTGTACTTATTGGACTGTTCTTTTTATTTTTTTGCATTCTTTTTTTACTCCTCTGTCTCTCTGTATCTGTATCTCTCCATCTCTCTCTCCCTCCTTTCTCCCTCTCTTTCTCCCTTTCTCTGTGTCTCTATCCATCTTCCATTTTTTGAATTCGTTAATTGTGCTCAAATTTTGCAGTTGGTTTTGACCTAACTTTTTTTTTTTTTGGCAGGCATTGACCGCATCGCCTGCACCGTGGGCGCTTAGCTAGTACATATATAGACAGGGAGAGAGAGCGCTGTCCCCTGATGCGGAGACGACAACTTTCAAAAAAAAAAAAAAAAAAAGGAAAGAAATGGCCCTGGAGCCGGGACCCACTAGCATAGAGTAAATCGGTGTGTGGCGGCCATTTCTTTTAAAAAAACATATAAAGAATCATTTTTTTGTTTTTCAGAAATGCAAAGAAAACAAGGCCAACGCTATGCATCCACACTTCCACCAACCTGCTACATCTGCATGCGACCTTCCCCCCGGCCTGTTCGCAGCCTTCCACGGAAATCTCAATATTCTTAATTTCTGTGAAAAAAAATAGCAAGGCGCACCCTCATCCAGCGGCCTAGCTCAGTTGGTTAGGCACGCAAGTCGCATTCAGGAGGTTGTGGGTTCAAACCCCATGACCGCCTGCGGCGCCAACGAATTGGGATAGTCCTCTGGATACTCCTGATCCGTATTACTGGAATCTATGACCAACATGGGTGTGAGTGGAAGCGCCAGTGGGTTGTGTGTGGTGTGTGGGAGAGTGTTGGCCATAGCTACTGCTGCTACTGGATGAGGGGT